TTCTAACAAGTCTGCAGTGAAAGTTCGCCACTTTTTTTCTGTTATTATCTGTTCTGTGATCATTGCAAAAACAGATTTTATACAATTAACTTACCTTAAAATAAAGTTACTGTGAAATAAGCTTATTCCAGTCTGTCTTGAGAGTGCTGGAGCTTCAATATTTGCTTTTGTAATAGCCTATAACTTTTTGTTTGTTTCTTTTTAAATTGTAGGACACCACAATTTCTCATGCCGATACTTGTGGAAAACTTTCCTTTCATTAATAAATCAGAAAGGACTCTGGTAAGAGCTATGAACATTTTTGTTTATTTGTTCACCTTAAATGTGTAAATATACTTTATAGTATGGCAACTGATTTGGTGGCATTGAATGCAGATTTTTGAGTGTATTGTTTTAAGATTCTCATTATTTTTATTTTTTTATATATTTGTATATATGGGTGTGTATTTAGTACAAGGTTGTCCAAGCATACTTAAATTCCTTGTGCATAAGCATTATGCTAGTCTTTAATGACATAACTGCATATCTTTTCCACAGGATTGCTTTCTTAATCAATGCACAAGATGGACCTTTCTGACAATGAATCTCAGTGTTGTATAGTAAGGAGACGGTAGGATACCTGTCTCATTTGTTGTCAAAACTGGGAAGTATTTATCAGAAGAGCAGGGGATTTGATAAGCAGACAGAAAGCAATGGACGTTACAGGTGAAATCCAAGTTGCCAGTAGTGTAGGGTGTTAAGTTTTTTTATTACGTCTTTGGTACAGCGCTCATGTGTGGTGAAAAACAAGCTGGAAAATTTTGACAGGTTCCAGTTCTTGTGTGATCTGTGTATTTACTTGTTCCAACTTGATATGTTGGCACTTTATTTTACAGAAAGGCAGAGTCCTGCTCCACCAGCCAAGTTCAATTGGAGCTGTGTTTCGAACTTACGAACTGCTGAAGAACCCCCGAAGTTCTTTGTATGCCTTGCCAGTTTATTTATTTATTTATTTATTCTAATCCAGATAACTTTGGGCATCAGTTCCCTATCTGTAAAATGAGGGGGATAATAGCTCTTACATGGTGTTAAAAGAAGAATTTTTATTTATTTAGCAGCTCAGTGAGGAGCAAGTCATGAAGAAATTCATAACTCTGTTTTCAGGGTAGGGTTTGAATGAAGTGTCATAGAAATATGGTCCATGCATTGTTTTTTAAATATTTCCAATTTATACATTCTCATTAAACTAGCTCTATCCATTTTATGTACTGTATGAGCCAGATGGCCTGTGGAAAAATCATATGTGCTCATGTAATTAAAGGTTGTGTTATAATGCATATTCACAAAGAGGTTGTGGTGTACTTAAGTGTGGCACTTTAGCTAGTTCTATATATAGACTTGACAGTTTTGCTTTGTGAAAGTTGCAACGTTGTCTTTTGTACATACATGTGTATGTATACATTGGTGGGCACATGCACACTTGTCTGTTAACCTGTTTGAATTATAGTCAGAATGACTCTGAGGAGAATTACCTCTGGAATTTAGAATTGTTGTCAGTGTATTATAATAACCTGAGATACAGATGTATTTAGTTTTACTTTAAACAGTTCTACTGGATCTAGTTCTAGATGTAGTGAGGAATATGGTTTATGGTTGTTGTTTTAATTTTCCCAGAGAAAGTTTAGATATAAACTCTTACGTAAATGAATAACTTCTCTTAAAGCATATTTATGCTTGTTGAGTCTAGAAATAGTTGGAAAAATTTGCATGGAAATAGTAGATTCAGAAGTTAATGATAACACAGCTTAACAATTGAAAGTTGATGTTTGGTTTATACATTAACTTATTCTAGATTGAATACAGCCTGTTTAAACCTATTTCTGGTTCATTAGGTACCAAATTAAGAAACTTGTTTTCTAAAAATCCTTGGCAGAAATGAGACTTTCTGTTAACGTTATTACAGATATCAATAAATTTTGTGTTACAGGAGTGTTATGTTCATAACCTACTACGAGTTACGGTGTACCTTCCAACTCTGAGGCTTCAAATTCTGGAGCTTATTATTGAAAAGCTGTTAAAGCTGGATGTAAGTTTGTTCTGTGTCATCTTTTAAGGAAGCTTCGTGCCGAAATACACAGAGTAAGGAATTAAACGTGCTTCAGTGTCAAGCACAACAAAAAAATATGCTGCAGTAGTGCTCATGATGAGGAGTATAAAACCAACGAAATTTACTCCATTCCCAGTCTTAAGACGTTCCACACCTGAGGGTAGCTGTGTAATGTGTACTGTTACACCCTGCCCGGAATCTCCAGCCCAGAATCAAAGTAACTGTTTCATGGCAATGAGTGCTGATGTGCAGAGAATGTGCTTCTCTTTGTGCAGTCAATTTGTTTTATCATCGCTTTGAAGTAAAAGGATTTGCAGTCTTAAAAAAGACAGGAGGAGTAGCATTGTAAATGATAAAGGCTTTTTATTTTGGAGAACCTCAGCATGTAACAGTCTGGGGAAAGCTTATATTCTGGAGGCAAAGCTTCAGGAAGTTTGGAGTGTGTGTTTGTGTATTGCATACATACCATTCCCTTGTAAAATGTTTATTTAGTCAAGGACAAAATCTACTCTAGAAAGTACTTGTGTTGTCATTTCTTATATAAGTAATAAAAAAGGGGTTAATATTATTGCCATGGTCATATAAAACTTAATTTCTTTTTTGCAACTGTAGGTTAGTACTCCACAGCAAGATATTGAAGACGCTGAAGAAACTGCTAATAACTCTGATAGTGAGGAAAAATCTACAGAGGAGGGACTTTTTGACATGGTTGGCTATCTTGTTCTACTAAAAGTGTTTTGCTTGGGGTTTTTTTAGGAAAATTTTCACTTTTGAGGTTGCTCTGAACTACGTGTAGAAATACATTATTGCTTTGTCGTTAACTGCACTGCAAACTGAGACAGTGCAGGAACACATTATTGCTTTGTTGTTACTGCAGTGCACACAGCTCTTGAAACCTGAACAGCTGACAAATGATTAATGTGTTCTCCAGGTGTTGACTTTATTTGTGTGAATACCCAGCATACATGCAGTGAATCAATTTCATTATGTAAAAACACAAGCAAGTATACATAAAGCTAATTAAAGAATTCATGGTAGTTGGCTTAGTTTACAAAAAATTGCTTACACTATGCTGTGTAATTAGATACTGCTTTTTCAAAAAAAAAAGGTGAAACTAGCATATCACTGAAAGAGAAATTTAATGTTTTTCATGTAATTGCTGTCTTTATGATGTGTACATAAAAGCTGTATGACTGCCACTTTATCTGCTAGGAGGAAGATGAAGAAAGAAAAGGAAACAAAGTTGTCTCTTCCAGTAGTGAGAGAATGGCCCATCCACTTGCAGAGCGCCTTGATATTTTGATGACGATCCTGTTTTCCTATATTAAAGATATTTGCCACGTGGATGGTAAGAACACTTGAACCATAACAAAATTTGTTGTTTTGCAAACAAGTAAGAAAAACATAAGAGTTCTTGCTTTCTGCTGCTGCAAGAGAGAGCCCTCACCCTTTAGCGGCAAAATTCTGCCATCAGCAGGCTGTAGGCCACATTCCTGCCTCTGCCCACTGTTACTGACAGAGGATGCAAAGGTACATTTATGACTATAAAGGTCTAGTCTTTGGTTGGAGACACTTTGATTATATAAATATGACACTCTATCCAAACTGTGACATTACAGGGTATAAGGGTAAATAGAGTTGTTTTTTTCATTGTACTACAAAATTTGGGGGATTAGAAATACTTCCTGATTAATCACAGTGTTTTATCATTTGCTCTGCTGTATTGCTTTGAGTATTAGAATTATGGATTCCTTTCACATCGCAAGTACTGGAGGTGGACTAAAACAACCAGCCACGGTACTCGATTGGAATTGCTACAGCAGGGCTTTGCATTATAGGAAAAAAATGAAAGAAATGTCTTGCACTGGCATTTATTAAGGTTTGAATTCCTTAGAGTTACATATTTAAAAGAGAATATTTAGAAACCATTTTGCTGTATCTTCTTCACATAAGTCAGGTAACTTATTTCTTAATGTTTTCTTCTGTCTCTTGTGAATGAACACATTATTGCAAAGTTTGCATATCTACCATTCTATACATGTGTGCATGTGCGTGCACAGATGCTCTTCATATACACCAATGTAAAAAGCAGTAGAACTGAAGGCCTGGAAGGTCTTGCTGTAAATACTTTTTAGGTGTCAGCTAAGTCTGGAAGTCAGCTTGATAGTGTTTCTTTACATATTTCTTTCTGGTTTAGAAAGATATAAATGCCACTTTTGCAGCACAAGGGCAGTAAAAAACCCTGAAATGTCTCATTATTTTCTGTTTTTCTTTTTTTGTTGTGTAGGCAAGCTTGATATCAACAACACAAAGGATTTGTATCGGGATCTGGTTTCTGTTTTTGACAAGCTCATTTTACCAACCCATGCTTCATGTCATGTACAGTATTTCATGTTTTACATCTGTAGCTTTAAATTGGTGAGTAGAAGCTGTTTTTAAAATGCAGTGTCTTCTGTCATTTCTGCGTCCTTGTTTTGGCTTTTTTTGTAAAAAATAGTTGTCTTCTGCTGTAATTCTAGTCTGAAGATTCATCAGGATTCATTAGTTTCTTGGCTTTCTTTTCCTTCTCTGTTACTCCTTTGTTCAAGCTTTTCTTTATGTGGTTACTCGTCCCATGTTGTTCATAAACTGCAAACAGACAGATTCTAAGCTAGTGCGAAGGAACTTGGTTAGCAGACCTCTTACAAGAATCAGTTGGACTGTTGAACCTGAGACGCAATGCTCCAGCAAGTTTCTTCAGCATCCCAAAACTGTCTTAAGATACCGTCTGTGTTAGCTCTTCAATTTGAAATTTGTGTCTGATGTTTGTTTCCCCCCCCCTCATTTTCCCATCTCTCTCAAGCAAACTATTGTTCTTTCTCTTACCATATAAAACCAAGAACATACGTACTTTTTGCGTAAGAGCAGCTCAAGATCCAGCTAAGCTAATGCCCTATCTCTGATGGTGGTGAATAGTGGATGTGTTGGAAGGAATATCAGAACGGGGCAAGCACATTATGATGCTTTGCTAGAATACCCTTTGTCCTGGTTTCAGCTGGGATAGAGTTAATTTTCTTCCTAGTAGCTGGTGTAGTGCTGTGTTTTGGATTTAGCATGAGAAGAATGTTGATAACACACTGACGGTTTAGTTGTTGCTAAGTTGTGCTTGCACTGGTCAAGGACTTTTCAGCATCCCATGCTCTGCCAGGGGCACAAGAAGCCGGGAGGGGGCACAGCCAGGACAGCTGACCCCAACTGGCCCAAGGGCTATTCCAAACCATATGATGTCGTGCTCAGTGTATAATCTGGGGGGAGCTGGCCAGGGGGGCAGCGATCGCTGCTCGGAAACAGGCTGAGCATTGGTCAGTGGGTTGCATTGTGCATCACTTGTTTTGTATATTCTTTTATCATTACTATTATTATTATTATTTTATCTTCCTTTGCTGACCTATTCAACTGTCTTTATTTCAACCCACAGGTTTTACTTTTTTCTCCCTGATTCTCTTCCCCCATCCCACTGTGTCAGGGGGGAGAGTGAGTGAGTGGCTATGTGGTGCTCAGTTGCTGGCTAGGGTTAAACCGCGACACCCTTTCAGCCTCCAGCAGCAGTCCAGTAACTTCCTGAGCCAAAGTGATGTTCTTTCATGGTAACAGCCCATGATGGACAAATTCAGGGAGAAAATATATCATGATATGCTTTTTGTACTGATGTGAATTTTTGGCATTACAAATTTCTGTGGCAAAAAGTTCCACAATATAACCATTTAAGGTGAAGAATCACTTTTGTTTCTCTAAATTTGGCTTCTTGCTATTTTCATTGGATGTCCCTGACCTCTTCTGCTACAAGAGACAGTGAACAGTCACTTCATGTTTACCTTCTTACAGCTTTTGTTTTTAAACACTTCTCGTGTATCTCTTCCTCAGGTTTTCCTAGACTTCTGGTTCCATTTACTTTTTAGAACTAAGTATAAAAAAAGACACAGAAAAGAATGCTTTTCTATTATGTGTAGGAATAGTTATTTACTACAGTTATAGCTAGATTCTTTTTTTTTATGGTTTGGTTATGGAAATTGTGGGAATTGAGTATTAGGAAACTTATTACTTAAACAGTGTATTCATCATAACAACTCATGATCTGTATATATCTTGTTTCCAGGGGTTGGCTGAGGCATTTTTAGACCATCTTTGGAAAAAACTGAATGATCCGAACAATCCTTCAGTGATCAGGCAGACTGCTGGGAGTTACATTGGCAGCTTCTTGGCAAGAGCTAAATTTATTCCGGTTGTGTAAGTTGTTTTGATATATGAGCAGAACCAAACAATTTATGATGACGGCTGAGGTTAAGTACAGAATTCACAGAATGCACACACAGTGTTGGTCTTCTATTCCCACTGCTTTGCCAGTAAGCCTGTATCAATAGTCTTGTTTGTCCTTTTTACAATACTGTTTCAGTCTTGTCTTGAAGTTTCCAGGAAAGTTTTGCATTTACAGGATGCAGACTAATGATTGCTGGGATTCATGACTTGCTGTTTAAGGCTTCACTTACCAAGAAATACTGAGCATGGGTAGTTTATGTTGACTTCAGGTGGAGTCATGGATGCCCAGTATATCTGATATTCAGAAGCAGATATTTTCAGTGCCCTATGTTAGGCATTTTATGTAGACTCTGAGACAGGGAAGTCAAGAGTTCAAGTATTTTGATACAGACGGATTAAAATACTTTGGCAGATGAGTGAGAATGTCTTCTTTGTATGTACACATTGTTTATGCCATTCAGGGTGGGTGCAGTGACTTTAATGTTGAACTTAATTCGATACTGGAATTAATGCTTGGACATGGGAGGCATCCCTCTACTACCTGTAGCCCGGGATTCTAACTGTTTACTGTACATTTCACATGCAGCGTGTGTTCATGGATTCATCTCTTCTGGCATCTTTTGCTTTCACTGATTGGGGTTTTCAGTGCTGATACACTGATTCACTTGATGCTGAGATAAAGGAGAAAGTTCATAACAGAATCTCCTTTTTTACAAAGAGATTTTCTTACTGATGTTTTTATAACCACTGAGATTCTTGAATATTTGTTCAACATCTTTTCTGCACCATTGCAGGTGCTATTTTTACACTTGTTTTTTTTCCTTCATTATAGTACTGTAAAAGCATGTCTGGATCTTCTGGTTAACTGGATGCATAAATACATTGATAATCAGGATACAGGGGCTAATGCTTACTGTGATGTAGCTCTCCATGGGCCATTTTATTCTACATGTCAGGCGGTGTTCTATACGCTTATTTTCCGTCATAAGCAGCTTTTGGATGGCAACTTAAGGAAAGGTGAGTGTATTAAGTTTGAACGGTACTGGGATTAATTTGTGAGTTTTACTGTTGATGTTTTGTAACGGTCAATTCAGTCATGTATCTGATGGCAAGTTTATGTTGTGCTCTAAATAAAATAAGATGGCTCGTACACCTGTTAGGCTACCAAGCTAAATAATCTTGGTTTTCCCCACTGTTGAAAACAATGCAGATAACACTGATTTCTGGCCCCACTTACTGAGCATGTTTGAATTCCAGCTGTATAAAACTAGTGTGGGCTTCAATTAATAGTCTTTCTTGATGACCCTGTGCCTCTTGTCAGTTCGTGTAACGTGTGTGTAAGTGTAGTGTTTGTATGAGAAGCATCCCTCAGCTGTGACAGGTTACCATTATTTAGAGTAGGTTTTCTGCTGAACAAGCTGTGGGCTAGATCTCTACTGTGGGAGAGCACCCTAGGATGTGCTTCTGTGGTGGTGTGTGGAATGCAGGCTGGTCAGACTGGAAATTCTTAGAAATTAAGTTAAGCTTTATAAAATAAGTAAGTGTAGTGTTTGTATGAGAAGCATCCCTCAGCTGTGACAGGTTACCATTATTTAGAGTAGGTTTTCTGCTGAACAAGCTGTGGGCTAGATCTCTACTGTGGGAGAGCACCCTAGGATGTGCTTCTGTGGTGGTGTGTGGAATGCAGGCTGGTCAGACTGGAAATTCTTAGAAATTAAGTTAAGCTTTATATAATAGATAACCTATATTTGTCAATTGTTCTTATTTTGAAGGCCTGTCATATCTGCAGAGTTTAAATTTTGAGCGCATTGTCATGTGTCAGCTAAACCCTCTGAAGATTTGTATACCCTCTGTTGTGAACTTGTTTGCTGCCATTACCAGGTACCTACTAATTTACTTCAGTTTCAGCTTGATGAGTGTGTATCTAAAAACAGCACAGTATTTAGAACATGGGTTTTGTTAGTCAAAGCATTGAGTATTATCCAAGAGAACTCTTATAACATTGCCCATAGTCTAGGTGAGGCCAGTTTATTTCTGGTTCAGTTTCAATGAAATCCTACAGTACTATAAAACTGACTGCTTTGTGTTGGAGCCAGTGTGATTCTACTTGGAGTAAAATTTATAAGAGTGCAGAGGAAGGTAATAGACTCCTTACCTTGTGGCTATCTTCAAAACTGCTAATATCAGTCGGAAAATGGAAGATAGGAGTGATGTTTATTAAAAAATAACTTCATATTTTAATACCGTCTGAAATTTTTGCTTTCTGTATGCTAAAAATGCTTATCTTTTCTTTATTACCTTTTCAAAGGAAATACCAGTTGGTGTTCTGCTATACAATTATCGAGAGGAACAATAGGCAGTTTATACCAGTTGTTCGGAGTGGCACTGGGGGTGACCTTGTGCAGACATGCACTAACCCACTTGACAGTTTCTTCCCCTTTGATCCCTACATACTCAAAAGGTATAGTTTAAAAATAACTCTTGTAGAAAATAACAAACTAAAAACTGTAAGAAACTGACAGCGTTTCTACAGTTCACTTTCTTCCCTGATCTTTAGTGCTTTTCATGTTGCATATTTTAACCGGGCATTGTCAAAGGTTTGAATTGAAATTTACCCGCACTGTGACATATAGGAAGGAACAGGATCCAGTTTCCTAGAAGGTCTAGTTAATGTGTTTGGTGACTTTGCTTTTTGCTTTCCTTCTTTTAAGTATTCTCTAAAATACCAAAATGTTAGTCTAATGCATATTTTGTTGGAGCTGTGATGGTGGTGTGTCATTTTTTATTAGTTTGTTTTGGGTTGGTTTTTTTTGAATGTGTTGGTTCTTGACTGGAGATTTCAGCTTATTTAAAATGTCTTGCTTTTTTTAATGAATAGTGGATTATTTGCAGCTTTTCAAAATGTCTAGCACTATGATGCTTTAATCACTTTTTATTTTCAGTGTTAGAGGGCAACATTCTGGCTTTTCTCTTAAAAAAAAAAAAAATCCATCTTTACAGAAGGGAGACCTTTCTAAGAAGTAGAAATTATTAAAAGAAGCCACTCAATATTATCTTCTAAAAATTTGGAAGAATATTAGGCTTATTTGCGAGCATAGTGTAGCTGTTAAAAATACCCAGCTAGGAGTTAGGGGACGTGACTATCGGAACTTCTCAAACAAACAATTGTAATTTATGCCTATCAGCAAAACAATTGTTTCTTCATGGGATTAATTGGGGATTACATTGGGATTAATTTAATAGTTTGTAAAACCCTGCAGAGGGCTATCAAAATGTCAAGCATTTTATATTGTATTATTAAAATGAAATACATATGACTTGTACTGAATACATTAACTCATACTATGTTTTCATTCCTCTTTCAGATCAAAGAAGACTATTGATCCTTTTTATCAGTTTTGGGAAGAGCTGAGTGCTGAAGACCTTGAGAATCTGAAAAAACCCATTAAAAGGGTAATCTTTTCTGATGAAAATGCAGTTCAGCTTTTGCCAAACCTCTGTCAGCTGCTTCTGTTGCAGGATCACTTTTTTTTAGTAGATATGAGTACACTTGAACATTTATGGGAAACTGATTGAAATTAGGAAGCTTTAGGGATTGATCCATCCTTGTTCTGAGAACACTTTTCCCCGCTTCCACAGAGGAGTTAGTTTGGCAGCACAGGACCACTATGAATGCTTGTGAACTCTCTCAGAATATAGACATGCTGATGTCACTGGGAAATCCACTTAGTAGATAAGATTTAGTTCCCATATTTCATAATGAGAGTATATCTAACTCCCTTACCATTCCAACTAGTCATGGCAATTGTAGTACAACCCCAGTCAAGAATGATGTCCTTCTGAAGCTCCTATGTAGTCTCTTTACTGTCTTGCAGAATGTCTATCCTGTGTCAGATTTTTGTTTGAGTTCTTGTGTATTCCTTTCCTTCCTGTGATAGCACGTAAAAATACTTTATGGTGTTGTAGCTTTTCTTAACTGTTAACTTTGTAAACCTCCCTATAGCATTTTGATTAGCAGATTTGATTGTTGCAACATTTCATAATTTATTTTAGAAATATCCTTTTTGGTCTCAGCATTCATTACTTCTGCCAAATCTTAACAGAGACCTGGAGTATCTTTCTGCTCTCACTGATCCGTTTAAATTTCTGCAGGGTACTTCGGAAGATGAAGATGATGACTTCTTGAAAGGAGAAACCCCTCAAAATGATGGTGTGGTTGGAATTGCGCCAAATTCTTATGAGTCAAATACCCGGAGCCCATTGAGCAGCATTGGCTCCCCTCCAGACTGTTATGTGCCGTACCCTCAATGATATGGACAATCAGAAGTGAAAAGGTTGAAAATTGTGTGCAATTTTTTGCTCTGTAAAGAGACTTTAGCTGAACTTCCCAAACTGGCTAATGTTTTAGCAACTACCTTTAAGAAAAATTATTGTTTCTTAGTCATCAGATTTCTACCAATATGTTATGATAAAGTCATATGTTGCTAGAAAAGCCTAGAGAATAAATAGGGTGATATTTTAAAAATTTCACATTGAAATGTGTTTTATGACTTACAAGGATTTTTTTAATAGTTTTTCCTGACTCTTAACACTTTTGTTATTAATGTTTCTCTACAAGCTTTTATATATCAGGGGTGAAATTCTGGTCTTTCTTCCTACTGATTTGTGTGGGGACCAGAATTCCATTGTCAGTATTTGGACTGTACTCTGGTGGCTGGTTTTGAGTTGGTTTCAAAGTAATGGCATGATCCCACGATAGGGAAGCCTTGAATCGAGTCTGACAGTGATTCTTTTGCACACATCTCTTAAGCTTTTCCTATCTGTAGAACAGTATTTGGTAAAGCCACGTGATAACAGGAAGAGTATGTGGATGATAAGCATTATTGCTCCTTCAGTATGTAGTCGACACACAACTTTCCCAGCTGTGGAAGTTCAGACTTGTGAAAGTGACGACTGCTGGAAGTGTTGAAAATGATGGAGTAGCTGAATGTGTGATTTGTAGATAGTTTTCTTTGGGATGCTTGTGAAGCGCCTCTGAGAAAGTATTTATTTGCAGACTTTGAAGTTTATATGTGAAAACAAAAAAAATCTTCCCTCGTAGAAAGGAAGTGATGGTGTCGCTGGTGTCCTTGAGTTGTCCATGTGTGTCAGTGTAGAGTTTCTCTGCACAGGTTCCTTGTCTTCTTTTCATGATTGCTGGCTTTTAGATTTGAGTAAGAATATTAACAGTGGAAAAAAGAAATGTTATTTGTGTAACATTTAGCTGAAAATGTTAGGCATTTGGGACTAAACTGTAATTGCCCTTCTTTAGAAGCTGAACTTGGAGGCTTTCAAGACCACGTTTTATTCAGAGCCAATAAAGATTGATGCAAACAGTGCAATTCTTACACTTTTGAAAAAACACATCTCTATGTAACGAAGGATCTGTGTAGTCTGGCTTCTCAAAGTTAGGATGTTTGTTCTGACAGACCGCAGAAATGAGTTTTGGGGGTGATACTGCAAAATGCATCAGTGGATCTGTTCATTGTTGGATAAATTGAGAGTTCTGGGCTTTAATTTTAGTCCTCTTTACTGTTGGTCCTTAGTAATAAACCATAGATTTCCATCTGAAATCACTGCATCCTCTCCTGCCTTGGGAGAACCCTTCTCACATCAACAGCAAGGAAAACATCCTTTGAAAGCTGCCTTTTTTGTTCTTTTGCTGTTGTGTCTTTAGCAATGTAGTCAGTCATTTCTTACAAAATGAGGCTGTATAAAACTTTCCAAGTTGTAATACCAGGTACAGGATTCAGGAACTTCCACGTGTCATTAAAAGCAAAAAAACAAAGACGTAAGTGACGTGAGGTGTAACATTTAAAATGTGCAGACACTGAACTGACTACACTGAAGTTGCATGGCTAACATCTACTAAAGGGGACTTGCCTAAAACAAAAATCCAGTTAGGAACTCCACAGTGTTTCTGTAATCTTTTCTGTGATAGCCCTGGTTTGCTGAGTGTAATTGCAGGTGGGTGAGCTGGCAGGTGCTGGCATTTTGCTAAAGAGACTTTGTTCTGTGAATCCTCATGGTATTGAGAGGAACGCTGGTTGGGAGGTGGAAGTTTGGCCTTACCTGACACATACGCTCCATCTTTTGAGGAAAGGATCTGCCATAACTGTTTACTTTTGTGAAAATGGGATTGGAAAGGTGGAGCTAGGGTACAGGTCTGGTGGCTGTGAACACTTCCCGGTGCCCTGGCTGTCCTCGCTCCCGCAGAGCCATTGCTTTTCTTCCTGTTCATCCAGGGACAATTGGAGGAAAAATCCCTGGTCTTTGAGGGAAAACTGTCGTCTTTGGGCTTGTCTGAAAATGTAGTTTTGTGGCTGCTGCGGGGACGATAGTGGCATGGGTTTATTTGTAATTTTGAGACTTTATCGTTGCTATTTCCAGAACGATTTCTTACAGTAAGGAAAATATCGCAGTCGCAGGGGGTTTATGCAACGTTAACGCATTCAAGTCGTTCGCCGGTGCCA